TTAGAATTATTCAGGTTACATTGAACTCATCTTCTCATGTTCTACAATTCTGCTAGGTTGGGCTCCTGAGTTTTGTTTTTTCGCTCCAACATTTGTGGTGTGATCTTCTGTCCCCTCATTTTTATTGGTTAATAGGGATAGATCTTCAGGCTGTTCTTTGCACTTGTTGAAATAACCTGAGGACTGGTAACTGACAAGGGGTTGTAGACAAAAGAGGATCACTGAGGCATAGGACACCAAAAGATCACATCCAGTACAGTCAGGATTCCAACTTCCTAATGTTCTGTGGATATCAGTTGAGTGATGGGGGTCCACACTTACTCCCTCCACTAGGCCCCCTTGGTCAAGGTGTCTTACAGTCTCATGTCAAATTTTTTTTAATTATTTATGCATACAGGACTGGGGTACAGGCCAGAGGTACAGGGGCAACGAGGGGCTCACCAGAGACAGAGTGGGGAGCAGAACAGGCCCACTGACAGTACACTGCTGAGGAGCAGATGGCAGTTCAGGTCTGCCCTCCATGTGGATCACCTCTGGGGTGGGGTTCGAACTTGTACTTCAGTGGCTTTAGCTTCTTAGTGCTGTGCTTTAACCTGCCTTACCACTAGGGAGGACCCCCTAAGCTGTTTTTAAGCATAAGCAATGATGGCAGATTATAATTGATGTGGGGCCACAGGAGAGACTTATTCTGCAGTGTCTGTGCTGACACGTGCTTGAGCTCTCAACCTTGGCTTCAAGGAGCTGCCTCCTTTTCTATTGGAATTGCCAGAAACTGCGACCTTCTCCGTCAATTCAAACTCCCACTGTTGAGAATTGAGTTTTGAGTGTATGAGACCCAATGCAGGAATTCTCATTCTACATCCCCATCCCTGCATCTCTCCAACAGTGTACTCCGCATCCTGTGTACCTACTTGGTCACCCCTTATCCCATAGTGCAGTGGCAGGTCTCAGGGAGCCCCTGCAGTTGACATGTCAGCATGAGTCAACAACTGTAGGGGATCCACACAGCAACTGCTCCTCCCTGTGTTGTGCTGCTTTTATCAGTACCAAGCTCACTTGAATTGGGGCTTTCCTGATGGCACAAGGGGTTAAGTCTCAGCACTACGTGGCTATCCCCAGTCAGAGAGCTGACCCACGTGCACAGCAGACCTGTCTTGCCTGCTGCTCCACTCAGCAGTTTATTTCCGATTTGCCTTTTCTTCTCCCCACTCCATCATCTGGTAAATCCTCTCATGTTCCATACACACTGCTGGCCTATACCCCAGTTCTGGTATGCATAAACAAAGGTATCCTTACAAACAAAAAAAAAAAAAAACTCACTTAAAAGTTTGTCCTATCCCTAACCCATGTCACATTGCTAAGTGTGTTCTGTGGCGGTCTTTTTCTCCTTCTGGGGACTTTTGGCTTTGTGTTGCTGTAATCTGTTATGAGTATTAGAAGAGATGAGCCCAGTGTTTTCACTGTTACGGTATTGCTGGGCTCCTCTTGTAACTAAGTTGCCTATATCCCTATCCTTCAAGTCATTTGTCCTGCCTCTACCCAACTCTATATTGCACTTTCTCATTCATTTAATAAGTTTTAAAAATTTTAATCTCTCTGGTAAAGGAGTCCCGTGTCAATATTACCCTTGAGTAAATTGTTTTCTAATAGGTTGCTGAATTTCTTCACAATATTCCATACCTTTGGTTCTGAAGAATTATTTTATTTTTGTGCTGCCATTATTTCCTGGGTTCTTCATGGTGTTTTGTTTTCACATTTCAAGTAGTGGGTGTCTTCAGTTAGATGTTTAATGGCTAATCTATTGAGTCCTCTTTTGTATTCCAGAATTGGTGTAGCTCTTCTCTAGATATTCCCTTGCCCAACCTTTGTCTATTTCAGCACACTGTCTACACAGGAGCTGATGCTGTGGCTGCACACAGACACACAAGACAGTAAAAGGGTTGAGGGAGGTCTCATCTTAGCACAGTAGGTCTTTGGGTGGGAGGCAGGGCATCTTTGAGATGGGTACAGACTAGCTGCTTAAGTCCTAAAGCAGACCCCAAGAAATGTACTCCAATATTCACTTTTCTTGTCTGCTTCCTTTCCTCCCTCCCATCATGCTAGTACCTTAAGAAACCTGAGTGCTGCTGTGAGAAGCAGTTTTCTCTGGCTAGTAACCAGATCAGTTACTGATCAGCTGATCAGTTGACTTTTGTGTTGCACCGGGGGAAGTAGTTACTTCCTATCTCCACTACTGGAAGGCTCACCAAGACCACTTTCAAAAATCCATAATCTTGTGTTGTCCCAGGTATCTGCCCCATTCTGTATTCTCCAGGAAGTTTCCCTTTCCTCCTGATGGTGGCAACTTGTAAAGCAGATTCCCAAGTCCATTGGACTTAACAGCCCTTACTGAGGATCTATTATTCAGATGCACAGATGGGCTGGAGTCCTCCCAGATTCCTTGGTGTAGTGTGCACCAAGGAATGATTTTTTGCTTGATTATTTCTAGGTAAGATTAAAAAGGTGGCAGGGAAGGAATGACCTGCACTGCTATGTTGCTGATTTTATTTTTGTCATCTATTAGACCAATTAGAAGTAAAATTCAAAAGACATAAAAATCTTTGTTATTTCAGCACTACTGTGCTGTAGCTTCTCAACACAAAGGATAAGATAAGTAAGGGAAGAAAATATAATAGAAGCTAACAGCTGAGCTTAGAAGTTTTCAGAGCTGTCACTTACTAGCAGAAAAATTTTGTTGAAAATTTCTTCAGTAAATTGTCTTATCCAACGTATTTTTTGTAGTAGCTGTTGAGAAGTTTGACGACATCCTAATTGCACAGGAGTGCAATAAAGTGTCAGAAGGTTAACTCTGCATAGTTTTGGTTAAGTCCATTTATCAATTTCACACAGTACACAGGTCTTCTTCAAAGTCACACTTCATGTAAATAAATGATCTGGTCTGTGGCTGGGCTGTGGCTTTATATGCAAAGAATAAATATTGCTGTACTCTGATACAAATATGTAACAGTTCAGGATAAAAAACAAATTTCTCATTAGCCAGTACACACATAGTAAGCACAGAAAACTGTTTCCATCTTCTCCAATTTTTCAATGAAAGCAACCAAACCCATACTTTGAGGAAGACACAGTAGTCAAATGTCAGCTCTTATTCTGCACTTCACCTCAAGTCCTGAATGAAAATTAGGTAGTTTAACAACTATAGATCTATCATACAACTACATCCTTATCAAATGCCAAGTCAGATCTTAAGAGTGGCAGTATGTTCTCATTACATTAGTAAATAATCATAGCACCCAGGGTAAAAACTGAAGTTCCTGTGAATAAATCATACTTGCATCAACTGATAAATACATAAACTTAAACTTCAGGTGTTAAACAGGAAGTCAATCTAATGTCCTCTCCACAAAGCACAGCCTTCTTGCACTTGAACACCAGATAGTTTAGTGCTAAGGGGCCATTTAAACAGTACCACCACCCAAAAAATAGCACAAGAACATGGCATGAAGTAGACTGCCACAGGAACACCTCTTTGTAATTTCTGCAGAGATCACCAAAGCTGTATTGCTATCCTACAAGCCACCAGATTGACCCATTTAAAAACCTGAAGACATTTCAATAGTAGAAGGAAATATTTTGTCTTCCTATCACATCATAAAAGCCAAATTATGTACACCTTATCTTCAAGACTCAATTTTGGAATCTTAAGTGTGGTAACTTTCTATAATCTCATATTAGCCTGTTCCTTTAAAACTTCAAAGCCTGAACCATTCTGTATTCAAATTTTGAAAAACATGGCATTTGTCTAACTTACTAAAATACAGAAGAAAGTTTTCACAGTGACTCACAATGATTATACTGTTTAAACGGCCCCTTAGCACTAAATTCTATCTGGTTTCAAATGTAGAAGGTAGGTCTACTATGGCCAAGCAAAGCACAAAATAATTAAATCACTACTCAATAGGTAATTTAAGTCTCTTAAATTTCAGAAGAAAAGACAAAAAGGATTTCAAGCACAGAAACATAAGGCTTCCTCATGCAGAAGGGGCTGACACTATGTAAGCTACAGATTTCTTTGTATTTATTCTGAAAAGCCAACTTGGAAAGCTACCTCAGTGTAAGTCAATTGGAAACTAGAACAAGACCATTATCAAAAAGTGCAAAGAGGGACCCTCCCCGGTGGCACAATGGGTTAAAGTACAGCTCTGTGAAGCTGTCCCCAGCCATTGCAGCTCGACTTCCATCCCTGGCCAGAAAGGTGACCACATGGCACAGCATACCTCTCCTGACTTGCCTGCTGCTTCCCTCAGCCGTGTATTTTGGTCAGTCAACTTGTTCTGCTCCCCAATCTGTTTCTGGTGAATCCTCTCAACCTCCACACCTCTGGCCTGTACTCCAGTTCTTGTATGCAAAAACAAATACTTAAAAAAAAAAAGGCTATGTGAAACAAGTACTTTGGATGGTTAACTTGTTAAATCACCATTTAACTTAACCATAAAGACATTCCTTTCAAAAATAAGGAGGGCTCAGCAATGTGAAGCTATCTGCAGCCTCTGCAGGGGAACCCACATGGTACAGATTCTCCTGTTTCACCCCACTGCTCCTCTCAGTAGATCCACCTGTTCTGCTCCCCATTCTCGCTGGTGAATCCTCTTACCTCCTGCACTTCTGGCCTGTACCCCAATACACAAGTTTTTACTGATTTAATATTCTGGCATTTAACCAATATAAAAATTGTACTGAAGATTCTTTAATTAGCTCATAGACTAGAAACCTCAAGTCATAAACTGACAGTCTCAAACCATTACAAGTATAAATATATGCTGGTTCAGGAATTCACATGAAAATCTCAATTCATGAAATGTAGTGGATTGGATTGTCTTGTGCCGAAAACTATTTAAACTTATTAGCATACCTTTTTCACGAGTCTCTTATGCAGCAAACTCCAGCTTATCACCAATACATGCCAATTGCCAAGAGAATTAAAAAAGCTTACCATTGTGCACTGTTTAAGGAATTTTTATTAAAGCAAGAATTTTATAATCCAAATTACGTTTCCTTGCTCAGTTATCAATTCTGTTATTTTAAACAGATGTGACATTCTGAGCTATTCCACAGTAAAGAATTACAAAATTAAAGAAAGGAATGCTTTAAATTTTTGTACTTTGCTGAAAATTCTTTTTTTCCCAGGATCTATAAAACATTAATTTGTTTTTATATTTTACTATTTTTTTTGTATTTTTTGTAGTTTTTAAATCAATAAGTAATCTAGGACTAGCATTATGTTTGCTAGACCTGGCAATTGCTCGGTACATAAGGTTCAAAGTTTCCTTTCCTTTTTTTATTTATTTTATATTTTGCAATGTTTTTTTTCCATAATATTTAAGTTTTTCGATGTTTAGATATTTTTCTTCGGTGAAGCACGAGTTTCTTTTCGTGGTCCCTGATCAATCTGTAAATTTAAAAAAAAAGTAAGACCCAATACTGGCATTTGTCAATAGCATATTTAAAGCCCTTTGTCAAGTTTAGTCTGCAGCCAGTGTGTCAAGTTTTACTGGCGTTATCCTGTTCATTTACATACCGTCTATGGCTGCTATCCTAACAATAGAATTACAATAAACGTCCACAAAGACCAAAATATTTTTATCTGGTCCTTTAAAAAAGAAGCTTTGCCAACCACTGGGACTGTTTTTATGCTAGTTACTCCCAAGAAATGGAAAAATGTAATTAAGGTCAAAATAGTAGCGGCCCAAGTGGAAAAGTCAGTAGTTAGTTGCCATCCTAGAAAAGTTGTAAAATGTACATAAAAGTCCTCCAGAAGAGTACCCAAAGAACCAACATGTTATGTTTCAGGCCATCTAATACAAATACCTATACAAAATCTACAAAGTGCCTGAATCAGGCAGAGAAAACTTACTTTAAACAGCTGGAACACCGGCGGCACTATTAACTGCTTTCTGGGCAGCCTCTTTAGCTTGGTGGGCTTGTAGTACAGCTACAGCTTCATCAACCTGGAAATAAGGAAATTTTAGACTTTGCTACTAGTCTCCAAGAACTATGAAACCTCTTAAAATCTTTGCTGTCCTCAAAAGATTCTCTTCATTAAAGCAGCACTATTAAGACAGCATGAATGTTGAAAAATTCAATGGATTTCAAACCAAGTTGTCAGTTACAAGCTATGTGACCAATGGAATATTATTCAAATACTATAGTTTCAGTATAACATGGGATTAACATGTTAATAATTAAGATTTACAATTCACACTTATAAATTTGCAAATGTTCTATTTATATTACTTTAGAACGGAGAGACTCTGGAGACTCAAGCATATGAAGAAGTTCTGAATTGTCAATCTCCAACAACATGCCAGTGATTTTTCCAGCAAGAGTAGGGTGCATGGCTTGAATAAGAGGAAAAAGCCGTTCACCTGTAACAAGAACAAAAAAACCATTACAAAACTCCTTTAATTATTAAAATGCCAACATATTTAAACTGAGGTTTAAGGACCTTACTTTTTGTATGTAGCCATATTTATGTATTATCCCATAACCCACCACTGCAATACATATTTCAGAGGATTTGCAAGCCCTACCACAAGGCAATTTGTCACCATCAGTTTACCAAAAAAAAAAAGGTGTATTAATTAGACTGTTAAATATGTGCTCAAGTGACACTTAAGCTGTTTTATTTCATTCAAATTCTTCTCTGTTGAAACAATGCTCTACTGCCTTATGCACCAAAAGCAATGTTTTCTTTAATAGCTTTCCAGGTTTTAAATTAGCTAGGTAGACCAATTGTGCCTCCATAACCATTTGTACCAATTCAGCTCAACCCTATCATCCTTTTATTTTTAGGTGCAAAGGATGTCTGAGTCTTGCAGTCCTAAGTTAGGTGAGACAAAGGTACGTACCCAACATTTGCTTTTGCTCTTGAGGAGGGGCAGATGCCAACATGGAAGCAGTCAAAGGCTCCTGACCTTGTACATGAACAGCAGGCTAGACACAATTAAGAAAAGTTGAAAGTTTAAAAAAACTACATTAGTAATGACAAGTGTATATACAGTCACCAATGGGAAACCATCACAAAGCTATGTGAACTAAATAAATATTTTACCCATGTGGGCCATTTCATTTTCTTTATATTTTCTTTCACTCTTTCTCTCAGCTATCCCAAAGCAAAACTTTCAAGATAGGGTTTGCAAAACCAAGTAAGATTTTTACATAGGGATGTAGCAACTGTTTTTAACTCTTTGACTGACATTAGAAGTTAATTTTTACAAAGTCCATACCTGTTGCATGGTAACTTGTGGCTGTGCATTAAGATGTTGTTGAGGATTGCGAACTCCCGCAGCATATTTGTACTGTGGAACGGTGCGAACAGCAGGAGTAGCTGCAGCAGCTGCAGCTGCAGGACGTGGACCCATAGTCTGTGTTGATGTGTTAGCTACAAGACAGATTTATTCATTCATTCAT